AGAAGGAAAATAGTTTTTTCCTTAGGATTAAATAATTGGTAGTATTACTATTAGAAAAGAATTCTCCAAGAAGTCAAGAATCTTGGTTGCAAAATACTTTTAATATTAAAATTAAGGACTAGCCTTATTATCTTTAGAAATCTCATGAAAAAGGGTAGAAGAATAAAGCAGTGTAGCCCTTTGTATTTCCAAAAATACTTGTGTTAGAAATATTCCACCAACCTGCAATAGTATTCTCCTTTCTCTATCTTGTGTCTCTACATTTTTCTCAGTAGCAAAGGTCAGTTCTTTATGACGTTTCTTATTTTCCTTCCTGAAAGAACTCCTTACAGCAGAAATTACCTGTTTCTTCTGAATTTTTCTTTACTTTAAAATAGCTTTAGAATTTGTCTCTTTGACTGTGGATTCCAAAATATGGTACAAAACTCAGGCCCTAAAGCCACAGCAAGGCCATGTCTAAACACAGGACTGCTCCTGTCTTCCAGGAGAATTCACACACTGGTTTTCCAGTCTGGCATGAAGTGACAAGGTTATGATGCCACCCTTACTCCTTAGAAGCTGCACACAGATTTCCCAGGCCTGGTTGTGATGCAGGCAGTGTCTACAGAACTAGTCCAGTGCCATTAAGTGCAAATCGATACGGAAAAGTATTTGGTGCTAAGATTGTAGCATTCATACAATACACATTTCAGTAGCTTTTAAACTGGAAAAGCGCTAATCTTAACAAAGCATGGCAAATGGGAAGAACAAGAAGATTCACTTCAAAAGCTCACTTCTGATCTAAATTAAAATGCTACCAAAGACACATCCATACCTTGTAACAAAACAAGGCTATCATCTGGCACAGGAAAGGAGACTATGTTTTGATCGCAGAGGTAACTGGAAGGAATGCCTGGCATGGATTTTATCAATCACTGTTTTCTTTTTACCATTTATAGCAAATAAACTAATTTCAGAGATTTTATAAACTCTAAAATATTCATGATTTATTTGGGTTATCTGAAATCATAAATGTTGCAGGTATTTAGAATGAGCACATCACTTACAGGAGGTGTTGTGTGCACCGATGAAAATTGGGGAATTACTGTTACAAGACTGTTTCTTATGAAAAACGTGGTTTGCTTTGCATAATACCACAAGATTTGAAAAGAAAGAATGTAGTTACATCATGGAAAAAATATACTCTATTTATGCTACAGGGAAAAGTTGCAAGTTCATGTAAGTACAATATATGTCTAGGAAACTTGGGCAGCTCTTACACTGGGGACAATCCTCATCAGAACTTCATAACCTTGCTAAAATCTTTCTTTGTTGCTCTTACACAAAAATCAGAATACCACTTAAAGCAAAATAAACGTTCCGATCCTCAGAACTCCACAGAAGAAAGTATTTTATCCTTAACAGAGCGGCCAGAGTAAGTTAATCTAGTACATGGATATACATAACCCATTATAATAAATGTTCTCCCTTGGGGTTACAGCCAAAAAAATATGCTTTATTCAAATTAACGCAGACAAGCCTAATGTCTGGGCAAAATATGCCTGCGAAGTTTATTTCATTATTTAAAACAAAACAACCATCAAACAGTTTTAGGAAGGTAGACCACACCACAGAAACCAGAGTCAAAATAAGGTGTGGGTACAGCAGAGGGCCCGAGCAGGAGAGTGGAGAAGCAAAACAGGAAATGCAAACAAGGCTGCCGGCTGGAGCTTCTGCCCCGCGTTTTCACCAGCTGAGATTTTTTCTTCCACCAAGAATAAAACACCAGATGTTTTAATACTGAGTTAGAGAAATAAGCTTGCCAATTTTACTGCGGTACAGCCAGCAGCCCCCGAAGCTGGGAAACGACGGAGGCGGCCTCTGCCCTCACAAACGTACACCTCCCCGTGCGCTGAGAGAACAACCCCCAAAAGAGTTTAAAACGGCCTAAAACCCACTCCCCCGTGTTGGCTTAGATCATTTCCCTCCGGGGAGGAGGGAATGGGGTGCGTGGAGGGAAGGCCGCCCCATTCCGCTGGGGCAGGCGGCCACCGCCCCTCACAGCCCGACCCGCCCGGGCCGAGCGCCGCACACGCGCGGGTGCCTGATCGGCGGCCTATCCGTAACGTCTCCTTCCCGCTCAGTGACGGGACGGCTCCCCCCCCG